CTCCCGGTAGCTCAGTGAGCCGGTTGCGCCGTCGCCTGTGGGTCCGTTGCTCCTGCTGCTCGTCTTAGCCGCGGAGCCTGTTACTCCTGTACTCCGGGGCACTCACTCCCGGTAGCCACTGTGTCGCACCAGAGCCGTCTGTTGCCCGTGTGCCTGCAGCTTCAGTCGTCGCCTCCCATCTACTCTCCTCTCGCCAGCCCTCCTCCTCCTCACTTGCCCGTTGTGACTACCACTAGCTTTGCTCATAATTGTGAACATTAAACTATTGCTTCTTAAACTTGTGCTCAGAATGTGTGGTGACATTGTGATCCACCCTGAGCTTGTACTGCTTTGCTTGCTCTGCTGATTACACCCCACTTTGGCTATGGGGGTGTGTCAGAATATTATGCTCTAGCCTGTAGTGGGGTGCTCTGTAGCGAGTACAACCCTTCTAGGGTTTGCTATTTGTATCCCCATTCTTGCTAGTGCAACCCCCCTCTTTCGCCTAAACTCTCTTGCCTAGCTAGGACTCTCCTAGCTATGGCTCCTAAGACTACCGCTTATCTTGACAGTCTCCGCCAGGCGCCACGTGAGTGGCACGACACACTGAGGACTACGCTTGCAGCTCTTGGGTTCGCGCCTTCTACTGCTGACCCGTCACTGTTTCTGCGCACCGACACTTCACTGCCGCCGTTCTACATCCTCGTGTACGTCGACGACTTGGTCTTTGCCACTGCTGACACTGAGGCTCTCGCCCACGTGAAGTCGGAGCTGCAGAAGAGACACACGTGCACAGACTTGGGTGAGCTGCGCAGCTACCTTGGCTTGCAGATCACCCGGGACAGAGCACGCCGCACCATCACCTTGACTCAGTCACACATGGTGCAGCAGGTCCTTCAGCGCTTCGGCTTCACCTGGTCTTCAGCACAGGCCACTCCTCTGGCTACAGGTCACACGCTCTCAGCTCCACCTTCGAACGAGTCCGTAGAGCCGAGTGGTCCTTACCCAGAGCTAGTCGGCTGCCTCATGTACCTGATGACTTGCACTCGACCTGACCTCGCGTACCCTCTTGGTCTTCTGGCTCGCTACGTGGCTCCTGGTCGGCACCGACCTGAGCACATGGCTGCTGCTAAAAGGGTACTGCGCTACTTGTGCAGCACATCAGGCATGGGGCTAGTGCTTGGAGGGACGAGCCCAGTTGTCCTCACTGGACACTCAGACGCTTCTTGGGTTGACGACCAGGCTACTCAGCGGTCGTCACAGGGTTACACCTTCAGCCTTGGCTCTGGTTCAGTTTCGTGGCGTTCTACACGTTCGTCTTCAGTTCTCAGCTCCAGTTGTGAGGCTGAGATCTACGCCACAGCCATGGCTGCACCGGAGTTACGCTGGTTCACCTACCTGCTGACTGACTTGGGAGAGCAGCCTCGTTCTCCTCCAGTGCTGTACGTCGACAACAAGGCCGCCATTGCCTTGTGTGAGGAGCACAGACTGGAGCACAGAACGAAGCACATTGCTCTGCGTTACTTCCTGGCTCGAGAGTTGCAGCAGCGAGGCCAGCTTCGTCTTCGCCACGTGGCCACTCAGGCCAACACTGCTGATATATTCACCAAGGCACTTCCGTCTGGTGATCATCAGCGCTTTTGTACTCTGTTGGGCCTTGTGCCTACGTTTCCACACTTGCTGTAGTCTCTGCTTGTACTGTGATCTATATATATACCTGCATGCTGGCTCTTGCTAGGTAGCCATCACTGTACTGTTATTGCTGCATATATATCTCTGCATGTGAACTGGCCCTGTGGCCTTTTGCTTGTGCTCGGAATGCGTGGTGACGTTGTGATCCACCCTGAGCTTGTTTTGCTTCTCTTGACTGGTCGTGTGACCCCTTGTTCTCCCTCACTTTGCCTATGGGGGTGTGTCAAACTATATGTACTGCATATTGTCTAGGCTGTAGTGGGGTAGCCCATATGGGGTACAACCCAGTTAGGGTTTACTACTTGTACTCCTGCATCCTGTTAGTTCATCCATTCCTGCTGCTAGATTCTAACAGGGGGTGTCGGGCGAGCTCAGCGAGAGCCTCTGTCGTGGCCGTGCGTGCTTACGAGAGAGCACTACGAACGGCGGTGCTGTGTCGCTGAGAGACGTCTACCCCCCCAAAAATTGAGATAGTGGGGAAGCGAAGGTGTGGGTGCGGTCCGAGAAGAGATCGTAGGCCCTGAATACCAAGTGTTACGAGTGCAATTGAGGGAGCGAACGAAGATTGCACTATCGAAGCAAGAGTACAATGAGCGAAGGCATGAGCGAAGGATTATATAGCGAAACTACAGTGGTAACGGTAATGTGTGAAAATGGGGTGCGCGACGGGCCTAGCGCCGTGGTTGGGAATTGTCGAGGCGAAGGTCCGGAGCGCGGGTTACCAACCTAGCCGTGAGGTTGGGTCGCGTCGTGAACAGTGGCGGGAACAGTACCGAGGCGAGTGTCGCGAGTGGTAACGGATTACTGTTGGGTGCTGTTGGCGGGAACAGTGTTGTATGCGCTGAGCAGGGACGCGAAGTAAGGAAAAGGGATTTTCCTTACAACAGCCATTCATGCCATACCACCATCATATGTCCAAAGTTTCAACACCGAGCCATTCAAATATCACGCTGCACTTGAATTTACGCTGTTTCTGTGCGGCGTCTAACCTTGTGTTAGTCCGTCGTCAACCACTTGTGTTTGGTTGCGTGTCCCCTCCGCTCTTTCCCGCACGCGCACACGAGATTCGTCGGAACGGTCTGCGAGATCCCCATGACCCGGATTATCCGGCCCCGCAATTCCCATGGCCGTCCTCCGCCCGCTGCAGCTGCCGCAACGGCCGCCTCAGCCGTCGCCGCAGCTGCCGCCGCAACCGCCGCTACAGGCGCCGCAGGGAACGCTGCGGGCGTTAGTGGCATAGGCGTCGTCAGGGGGTCTGCCGTCGCCGGAACGTCGTCGCACACAGGGGGTCAACCTGAGCCGTCGCAGGCGGTTGGCGAATTAGTTTTCCCCGTCGCAGGCAGGCCGGCGACCAGCCCGGCGACTCAATCACAGGGATTTGCTCGAGTTACGGATTCGCGCGATTTAGATAGTCGTACGACAGTGCGAGGAGGAGGAGATGTCGCAGGGGGACGGGTTGCCAGCTTGTCGTCGTCCTTGTCGCAGTCGCCGTCGCAGTCGCATGACCACTCGCACTCGCGAACCAGTGTTTCTACAGAGTCGGGGCGAGGGACGCAAGAAGCAACGGCAGATGATAATGACGATAGCGAGCAACAAGCAAGCGGCGGGAGAGGGACAGTAGCGGATAGGGGAGTGGTCGAAAGGGAAACGGCGATTGGCGTGAGTGCGACGGGGGAGCGCAGCGGTGCGGTTGGGGTGACGGGGGGTAGTAGGAAGTGGGGAGAGGGGAACGGGGAGGAGGGAGAGGGAGGAGAGGAGGCGGGAGAGGTGAAAGAGGAGGGAGAGGAGAGAGAGGAGGGAGAGAAGGAGAGGGAGAATAAGGAAGGAAGCGAGCTTCGTGGTGCAGGACAGGAGGATGATGTCTGGTCTGGGAACGATGTAGCAGCAGATGCTGACGTGGAATGGGGAGTTTCCCACGTGTCGTCTGACGATTCTGACGTGGCGGCAGCGTACAGTCGCATGCTGCAACTTGTGTCGGAGCTACGTCAGCACCCCATCCGCACCCACGTCAGCAGCAGCAGCAGCAGCAGCAGCAGCAGTAACACAAGCAGTGCTGCTGAAGAAGAGGGTTGCGGGGAGAGGGGGAGGGTTGCAGCGGAAGCCACAGCACCAGCAACAGCAGCGGCAGAAGAAGAAGCGGCCGCAGCAGCAGCAGCAGCAGCAGCAGCAGCAGCAGCAGCAGCAGCAGCAGCAGCAGCAGCAGCAGCAGCAGCAGCAGCAGCAGAGCAGCAGAAACAGCAGCAGTTGCAGAAGCGGCAGAAGGGACGGCATCAGCAGCAGAAATAGCAGCATTAATTGAAGCAACGGCTGCAGCATCATTAGGCGTGGGAGGACGGGCAGAGGATGGATGGAGAGGCGAAGGCAATGACAGGAGTGGCAGCATTGGCGAGGGCGAGGGAAGGGGCGTGGCGGTACAAGACACAGATGAGTCTATCATAACAGAAGCTCAACCTGCTGGCAGGAACCAGGAGCAGGAGCCACCATACTGCAGTGACACTCACAAGCTCTCCGCTTCTTGTGCACCGGCTGGTGATTCATTTGCACTGACTCACGCCTCCCCTGCTTCAACCTCGCAACAGGGTCCTGTGCGTGCTGCTGACCTTGGATCAGATTTGCGCTTGCAGTTGAAACGGAGCACAAGTGGAAGGGGTGGTGCTCTTGCGAGCGCGGGTGCAGCAGCAGACGTGGCATCAGCAGCAGCAGCAGCAGCAGCAACGGCACGTGGTGTGATGGCAGCAACTTCCCCCTCTTCCTCCTCCACCTCCTTACCAGCACCATCACCAGCGTCAGCAGCAGCAGGAGAAGCAGCGGTGTCATCCCCTCCGCGTGCCATGTCCCCCAGTAGCCCGCGGTCAGAGGGCAGTGAGGAGAGGGGGTACAACAGTGCAGACGAGTACGGCTCCCTATTTCCTGCCACTGCGTTAGCGCCATCTGTGCCTGCTGCCGCTGCTGCGGGTGCAGCTTCAAGAAGTGTGCAGGTAATTTTTTTTTTTCCTTCTCCTTGTTGCCGCTCCTTTGTGCCTTCCCCATCTGCTGATTAAATCTGGTGTTACACACACTCCTCTTTCTGTAATCCTTTCTTAACCCACTTCCCAAGTCCTTCTCCTTGTGCTCCCCCGTTCCAAATTCACCCCTCTCCACTCTCCCCACAGCTCCCACCACTCAACAAACAGCCTACTCAGCATTGCGGGGGCAGGGACCGGGAGGGGCACGGGCACGGGCACGGGCAGGGGCAGGGGCAGGGGCATGGGGAGGGGGGGGAGGAGGCGGAGGAGGAGCGGGCGTTTGAGGCGCGGGTGTGGCGGGAGTGTCACCTGCGTGTGCACCGCATGGCAGCGGACGGCAACTGCTTGTTCCGTGCCGTGGCCCACCAGGTGCTGGGGGACGCTGCTTTTCACCGTGACCTCAGACACCTGTGCCTCGACTACATGGTGGGTGTGTGGGGGGTGGTGGTGCGTGGGTATGTTGGTGTGTGTAGGGAGGTTGAAGGTCTGGTGGGTGTGGAGTGGGTGTGTGGGGTTGCTGTGGCCCACCAGGTGCTAGGGGACGCTGCCTTCCATCGGGACCTCAGGCACCTGTGCCTGGATTACATGGTGGGTGGCCTGGAGTTGTGGAAGTATGGAAGAGGAGAGGGGGGGTTGGTGGGTGTGTGCGAGTGTGTCGGGTCGCCGTGGCCCACCAGGTGCTGGGGGACGCTGCATTTCATCGGGACCCCCAGCATCTGTGCCTGGATTGCATGGTGGGTGTGTGCGGGGTTGTGGTTGAGTGCGTGTGTTGGTGTGTGAGACCTTCCTGAATTTACGTCCCCTATGTCAACTTCTGAGGGTTCCCAAACCCGAGAAAATCTACCCGGAATTCACATCCATTATGCCCCCTCACCTGAAAGTTCACCTGGAATAGTGTGCGTGTGCACCGCTCTCAACCCCTCCTCACCCCGCTCCGCTTGCCCTGGCAGGAGAAGGAGCGCGACCACTTCAGCCAGTTCGTGACGGAGAGCTTCAGTGCCTACTGCAAACGGAAGAGACGCGACAAGGTGCGTGCACTGGGGGAGGGGGAGGGGGGAGTGGATTGGGGGAGCAAAAGAAGGCTGAAGACGGGGTTAGGGAGGGGCTTTGTGGTTGGAAGGTGGGTTTAATGTGGTTTGAATCAAACCAGTCTGATGCACCATCAACAGCTGCTGCTGCTGCCATGTGACATGTATGCGCGCATGCATGCCCATGTGCTCTCAGGTGCTCTCAGCAACCGTTCAGCTGCGATGTGGGTGTCACTTTTGAGAATCCTCGCATGTGTGTGTGTGTGTGTGTGTGTGTGTGTGTGTGTGTGTGTGTGTGTGTGTGTGTGTGTGTGTGTGTGTGTGTGTGTGTGTGTGTGTGTGTGTGTGTGTGTGTGTGTGTGTGTGTGTGTGTGTGTGTGTGTGTGTGTGTGTGTGTGTGTGTGTGTGTGTGTGTGTGTGTGTGTGTGTGTGTGTGTGTGTGTGTGTGTGTGTGTGTGTGTGTGTGTGTGTGTGTGTGTGTGTGTGTGTGTGTGTGTGTGTGTGTGGTGTGTGTGTGTGTGTGTGTGTGGTGTGTGTGTGTGTGTGTGTGTGTGTGTGTGTGTGTGTGTGTGTGTGTGTGTGTGTGTGTGTGTGTGTGTGTGTGTGTGTGTGTGTGTGTGTGTGTGTGTGTGTGTGTGTGTGTGTGTGTGTGTGTGAGTCTCTTTCTCTCTCGCAGGTGCATGGCAACAACCTCGAGCTGCAAGCACTGGCAGAGCTTTTCAACCGCCCCATCCACATCTTCTGCTACTCCACAGGTGGGTGGCCCACTGCCTCTGGGCATTGTGGGCGGCTGTTGGTGTTGGGGACATTTGAGTGTGTGTGTGTGTGCCGTTTTTCCCGACTCCTCTCCGCTATCCCCTCTCCATCACTTGGTCCCCAATCCTCCGTCCCTTTCCCTCTGTTCCTCCTCCCCACGCACCTCTTCTCCCATTCACCTTCTCCCCCTTTTCGCTTCACCCATCCCCCCAACTCCCATCCCCCCGTTCCCTCCGCCCCATACCGCATCCCCCACCCCCCTCGCAGAGCCAATCAACATTTTCCAGGCAGCATACGACTCGTCTTTGCCGCCCATCCGCCTGTCGTACCACCGGCGCCGCCACTACAACTCGCTCGTCGACCCCTCCCAGCCCAACACCGGCGTGGGACTGGGACTCAGCGCGCTGCAGGTGCGACCGCAGGAGAGGGGAAAGGGAGAAGGTGGATGGATGGGAGGGATGTAAAGGGGCGTGAGTGAGGGAGGGAGGGAGGGAGGAGTGATAGGTCAAGGTGAAGTGGTTGGGGAGTCTTCTGGGCAATGGGAGAGAGGTAAAAGGAGGCTGTATGAACCGTGCATGCGTTGCTTGCATTGCACTTGTCTATAGCATGTACCTGAACAGGATTCACCTGGCTAATGAGCTGCGCTTGGGCGGTGGAGAATCTTGCTCTCTCTTTTTTTTTGTTTTTTCCTTTCTGCACCATGCCTCACCACACCACACCACACCACACCACATCCCAATTCACCAAATCCTACTACCCCACACCCATTCGCACACCATCACACTAAGCAGGGGGGGCAGGCACAGAAGGCAGTGAAGGCAGCAGCAGCAGCAGTGAAGGCGGCGATGCAGGAGCAGCAGGACGCAGTGGTGGAGCAGGCACTGGTGTGTGAGGCCCAGGCGTGCTCCGACCGCCAGCTCACAGAGGAGGCTCTCGAGCTCGCTGTTATGGAGGCCAGCTACAGGGAGTACGTGCAGCAGCAGCAGCTATGGCAGCAGGAGCAACGGCAGCAGCAGGAGAGGGGCGTTGCTGTGTACTCGCCAGGTTACATGCGGCCCGTTCGGCCGCTTCACCAAGCTCCGTTCCATCCTCCACCTGCTGCCAGTGCTCCGCCTGCTCCTGCTGCTGCCCGCACGTCTCATTCATGGGAGCTCTCCCTTCCGTCTTCCTTTGATCTGGCGTTTCCATCTTCGTCGTCCTCCACCCCCTCCTCCTCCCTCCGACATACTGCTGCTGCTGCTGCTGCTGCATGCGGTAAGTGCCCTGTGCTCGCGGCCTTGTGACGGGTTTCCAGTAGATTTTGTTTCTTCCTTGTCAATTTTGCCTTGCCAGAAAGCGTGCTTGTGCACCCTCCGTGGTTCCAATCCGTGCCTGCTTCCTTTTGATGCTCCTTGCTTGACTGTTCTGTTGCGTGCTCTATCACAACCATGCCTCCATGCTGCACTCTCCCCGCAGTTCCATACATTGCATCTGTCCAAATCTCAGTGATATTCAGATAAGTAAGTTTTGTAGCGTGTGCCTGTCTTTCTTGCAGCCCGGAATGCGGCAGCAGGTGCAGCCGTAACAGCAGCAGCAGCAACAACAGCAGCAGGGAAAGGAGCCTCCACTCCCTCCTCCCGCTCTCGCTCTCCATCTCCACCAACTGACCTGCCCCCTACACATCCTCCCTTCTCCACTTCACCCACCAACAATCCCAGCACCACCGCCACCACCGCTAGCGCCACCAACAGCGGCAGCACAAGCAGCCCGTCAGTTCCATTTCCACCTGCCCACCACCCGGATAAAGACCTTTCCTCCGGCACCATTCCTGTTGCTGATGGTGCAGACGCGGCAGCAGGCCCTGGTTGCAGCAACGACTGCAGCAGCAGCATCAGTAGCAGCGGTTTGGGCAGCGGCAGCAATGGCGGCAGCAGCAGCAGCAGCAAGGCGGAATTCGGCACCAGCAGCAGCAGCAGCGTCAACAACAACACCACCAGTGTAAGGACTACGAGCAACAGTAATGGCAGTAACCAGCTGGGCTGTAACACATCATCATCACCAGGGCAGCCAACATGTGCCAGCGTTCTTCTGTCCATGGGTTTTTTTGAAACAGCGGTGGCGCAGGCTGTGAGCTTATTCGGCGAGGACTTGGACTCATGCCTGTGCTTCCTGCTGCAAATCGGGGCTGAGACACATGCCACTGCGAGGCAGGCAGATGAGCTTGATCGCAAGGGCAAGGCAGCACAGTAGGCTGGTGCTGTATGCTGGTATGGTATGGATTGGTGATTTGTATGGTGTTGAGCAGTATGGCACTACTACCCTGTTGACATACTGTACCTGACGACAACATAGGTAGAGATGCTGTCAGTGAAGCATTCGGAAAGGCAGCACTAACGTTGGGCTGGGGGCGCTGTGCATTGGGGTGTGGTGTGGTCAGTATGGAAGGCAATCCTGCAAGTGGTATTGAAGGGAATGGCTTGTTGTACATAACAAAAGAATTGTGTGTGTTCAAATGAAGCCCAAGCAGAGGCGGCACTGTCGTGTCTGACAGGAGAACACTGTATATTATAGACAGGACGGGCACGTTTGCCGTGCACAGTTTCAACGCGCTCGCCGTGCACAGTTTCAAAGATGGGCCGTGTGTATGTGTACATGCTGTTCCACAAAAAAAATATGTGGAACAGCTGCAATGTTGTCAAAATGAAGAATGGATGATGCATTGATGTTGGTTGGGGTACATATAGCTAACCCTAAGTTTTGTACCCCCTAAGACAAACCTCACTATAGGCTACAACATTTGACACACCCCCATAGCCTAAGTGAGGGGTGTCTAGCAGAACCAAACGACTACGGTCACAAGACCAGTCCAAGAAACGAAGCTCAGGGTGGATCACAACGTCACCACACAGTCTGAGCACAAACAACAGTGGCCACAAGGTCAGTCCAAGAAGTAACAGAGGTATATAGAAAGCAAAGTAAACAGTACACTCAAGTCTAAGCAACACGAGAACCAGTGTCAACAAGGCCTAACTGCACACAGCACCTCTGGTGGTCACAAGGCGGAAGCGCCTTGGTGAAGATGTCTGCAGTGTTGGCCTCGGACTCCGCAAACTCAAAGCGAGCCTGTCCACGCCTCTGCAACTCTCGCAGAAGAAAGTACCTGACGTGAATGTGCTTCACTCTGCTCTCCAGTCGTGGCTCTCGACAAAGGAGAATAGACGCCTTGTTGTCAGTGAACAAGGTCGGTGCAGAGCTCGGCCGCTCACCAAGGTCGGTGAGCAAGAAGGTCAACCAACGCAGCTCCTGTGCCGCCATGGCACCAGCGTAGATCTCAGCCTCAGCTGTAGAGGTCGAGACCGAAGAGGAGCGCGTGGACCGCCAGGAAACAGCTCCAGAACCCAGGCTGAAACAGTACCCCTGAGTAGACCTGTGAGTCTCAGCGTCGTCAGCGTAAGAGGAGTCACAGTGACCAGTAAGTACGACAGACTGCTGCCCTCCAAGAACTAGCCCCACGCCTGACGTCGTCGCTAGGTACTTCGCCACCCTCACAGCTGCTGTCCAGTGAACAGGACGGTGTCTCCCTGGCGCAACAAAGCGCGTAAGAACGCTGAGAGGGAAGGCGAGGTCCGGGCGAGTACAAGTCATCAGGTACATGAGGCAACCCACAAGCTCTGCGTAGGGACCACTAGGCTCGAACGGCTCGTCAGGAAAGGGTCCAGTGAGTCTGTGGTCAACAGCAAGAGGTGTGCGCTGTACTGTGGAGTGCTGAAGCCCGAACCGCTGAAGGACCTGCTGCACCATGTGCGACTGTGAAAGTGTAATGGTGCGAGCAGCTCTGTCCCTGGTGATCTGCAGGCCAAGGTAGTGGCGCAGCTCACCAAGATCAGTGCAGGTGTGTCTCTTCTGCAGTTCGGACTTCACGTGTGCCAAAGCAACCCTGTCAGGGGTGGCGAAAACAAGGTCGTCAACGTAGACCAGAACAAAGAAAGGTGTGGGGCCACGACGAACGAACAGCGACGGGTCAGCAGAAGACGGCTGGAACCCAAGGTCAGACAGGGTAGAACGCAGGGTGTCGTGCCACTCACGAGGAGCCTGACGAAGACCGTAAATCAGTCGCCTCAGCCTCCACTAGGTCCCAGGAGGGAAAGAGCCAGTGAAGGCAGAGGGACGACGCAACCAGACCTCCTCGTGAAGACTGCCCTGAAGGAAAGCAGTAGAGAAGTCGAGAGAGTGTAACTCGTAGTCTCTCTGTGCTGCTACGTGTAGTAACACCCGAAGAGTGGTCATCTTCGGGGTGGGCGCGAAGGTCTGAAAGAAGTCAACTCCCTCGCGCTGACTGAAACCTCTAGCCACGTAGCGCGCCTTGAAGACCGGAGGAGATCCCGGTGGCCGCTTCACCCTGTAGATCCACATGCCGTCAACTACGTTCGCCCCCGGAGGGGGAACCTCATCGACGTAGGTGCCTGTGGATCTGTAGGAGGCCATCTCTGCGTCCATGGCAGCTCTCCACTGAGAGGCCCAAGGCCCTGACACTGCCTCAGCGTAAGTGCGAGGAGTCGGAATGTCAAGGGCGTCGGGGTCACCCTCAGGGGCGAGGAGCATGGCACAGAGATGAGGGGAAGCGGCGGCCAGGAACTCTAGCTCAAACTGCCTGTCCTCTAGGGCGTCACTGCCAAGGGCAGACACACCCCCGACGGCCAGAGGACTGGAAGGAGGAGCAGTCACAAGAGCGGTGGCGAAGTCAAGGCGGCGGGTAGAGGCAAAGTCAGTGACTACGGCAGTAAGAGCGGACACAGAGGACACAGAGGCACGAGGGTGGGTAACAAGAGAGGCGAGAACACTAGAGAGAACAGGACGGTACGTGCGGTAGTAGTCAGTGACAGGAGAAGGAAGCGACACAGTGAGGGCCGACTCAGGAGGAGACGGAAGCACAGACGGAGACGGACGAGGTGGACGAGAACAAAGGAAGGCTGTACGAAGGTCAGTGAAGGGAACAGGAGACGAGGGACGAGCACGAGGGGAGCGACGAGAGGCCCAAGTCTGAGAAGGAGGAGGAGACAACGAAGACTGAGAACGAGGGAAAACAGCGGGAGAGGGGTCAGGAGGAGGAAGCGGAGGACCAGAGACGGGAGGAGAGGGGGAGGAGGAAGGAGAGGGAGACGGGAGACCAAGGGTCCGAAGACCCGAGACAGGAGGAGGAGACGGCAGCAGCTGCTGCTGCTGCTGCTGCGGCTGCTGCGGCTGCTACTGCTCCAGCGGCTGCTGCCTCTGCTGCTGCTCCTGCTGCTGCTCCTGCTGCTGTCGCTCCTGCTCCTCGAGCCGCTGCAACTCTCTCTCCTCTCTCTCCAACTCCAACTGCTCCTCACGAGCACGGCGAACACGAGCCTGGAACCTGGTCGGGTAGGGGTGGGGGGAAGGAGTAGTGTCCGGGGCAGCGGCAGCCCCAGAGTCGACCTCCGAAGCACCAAGCACACCACCCCCAGAGGCAGCACCAACACCAGCTCCAGACCCAGGCTCTCCAGAAACCGAAGGGACACCCTCACCCCCAGACGCAGCACCCCCAGACTCCGCACCAGCACCCCCAGACTCCGCACGACCAGTACCAGCCCCAGGAAGACAAGAGTCCTCTGCAACCCGCGGCTCAGCTCCAACTCCAGCACCCCCAGAACCAGAGACCTGTACAGGGACAGTCGCAGGACCAACCTCTCGAGAGGGAGCACCTCCAGGAGGCGGCGAGGAAGACTGTGGGGAGGGAGGCTGTACAGGGGGGGCTACCGAAGGGGGAGGGCTAGCCTGAGACACACCAGACGGGGCTGGACCAGGGGGGGGAGGCTGTACCGGGGGAGCAGGCGGGGGAGCGGCGGTCAGGAAGAGAGGGGGGGGAGGGACCGGGAGACCTCGACTGGGGTACCTGACGTAGTAGGGGGTGGACTCCTCGAAACGGACGTCACGGGAGTCAAAGAACCGGTGAGAGGGTGGGTGGTAAAAGGTGAAGTCAGAGGAGTCCTCAGGGAAACCAAGGAAGACACAAGGAACGGCGCGAGGCGAGAGCTTGTCCGCGGAGGTGTCGCGGACAAGAGCCAAGCACCCCCAGACACGAAACCTCGACGCGACACCAGGGGACCCTGTCCAAAGACTGGTCGGTGAAGCCTCCGGCCGAGAGACGCGTGGCCAGAGGTTCAGCTGGTGCGCGGCGTACCTGACTGCGTATGGCCACAGGAAATGGGGGGCACGGGCGTGAGTCAAGGAGGTGCGGGCAATCTCCATGACCAGGCCTATGCGACGCTCAGCAACCCCATTCTGCTGTGGGGACTCCGGAAGCGTCCAGGACTGACGAATGCCCTGTTCGCGACAGAATCCAGCGAGAATGCCGGAGCGAAACTCGCCCCCGCGGTCGGAGTGGAGACAGCTGACACGACG